CGAGTATTGTGTTTGCAAAATGGGGGGGGGGGGGGGGGCAGTTCCTGTGTAGTGGTGTTTCCTCCGTATGGAATAGGACCCTAGACAAAAAAGAGATACAACATAATTTCTCGCCCCGATTTTTATTGTTCTGACTTCCTAGCCATAACTGGCTGGCGTAGGGTCTGTGCCGTCCAGGTTCTATGTTTGACGGCGCTACCTCGTCCGCGCTCTACAGCGTGACGGAGACCAGCTGATGTCGTTGACATCGATGAGTGCCGAGGTTCTGAGCCGCAGATAGAGCTCAAACTGGGATGGCCTTGATGCGAGAGAATGCCATGATGCCAGAAGCAGGCTTGCTGCCGGACATGCTGTCATTCGAGTCACCCAGCTGACGTTCATGCCCGACTATTGGCAAAATGCAATGCTCCTCAATGCAGAGTATTTTCGAGACATACTGCATGGCAGTTACATGGCTGATTGTCGCATAGCGCTCGCCAAGATATCCCCCCTCAGCCTCCCGGGCTGACCAGAAGTTATGCCAGCAGTTAGATGCAAGAAGTCCTCCATGTCATGCCTTCTTGTTCGGAAGTTCCTGCCCCGCACACATCCGCGTCGATGCCAAGTGTGCTGTCCGTACCTTTAAGAGTTGTCGCTTGACATCAGCTTGCCGTCCCAATGGTCTGCATACTGTCCTTTAGCTGCCGACTGCTTAAGGCATCCGATCTCCCAGGTTGCAGACATTGCCGTTTCGTTCACGGTGGCCTTGGGCTTCCCCTCCTCTTGGCCCGCTGCCTTCTCGCCCGCAGGTCCAGTGCGTTGACCGTGAGACTGCCCGTGCGACTCCGAGAGAAGTTCCGAACCCCCCTGGCTGCATCCACGCGCTCGCCCGCTTTCAGTTGTCTCCGTTCCCTGGCCTGCGGCTTCTTGCTCACGGGAGCTGTCGTGAGAGAGTGCGCGTATGATAAGGCCTATGGGACTTATGGGGAAAGCTGTGCCGGCGCTGATGCCGCGTTCTTGCTTGGCTGCTTGCCCGAGTTGTGGTTTTGCCACGGCGGGTTGTCGCCCCCAGCTCCCGACTAGTAAGCCCCGCGGTGTCATTGCACAGTTGTATACCGAGTGCCAGCGAGAGGCTGGCCGCAATGGCATGTCGTGATGCCGCCGGAGCGAAGCTTTGGAGACTTTCGAGGCAGCCGATCCGAGGTGCGGTCGCTGCGCGACCTGCGCGGCCTGCGCGACCTGCACGAGCTGAGCAAGCTCTCGCCTGCCGTTGCTTCGCACCCGATTTCGAGCCCTGTCTGCTTCTGCCCGATTCTGCCCTGGCACAAGCACGCTTGAAGAGAGCTGGGCCATTCGAGGCGATTCGAGGCGGCTGGCAGGCCTCTGCTGCGATGAAGCGGAAGTTTCAATGTCCCAACTTTAGACAAGGCATGCCGAGACTTGCGTGATGGCAGTGCATGTACGCTGAGGCCGGCAGGCAGCCGAGAGCTTCCTGATCGTCGCAGGGCTACATGTGTTCATGCCTCATGCACACCATTCGCCGAGCGCGCGGCACCGTGCTGCTGCGGGGGGTTTGTGATCGACTCATGGCATGCAGCCAGCCTTTGCTGCGACGCGCCGCTCGATGCTATACTGCCATCCGTCGGTTCCTCGGGCTCGATGTCAGAAATGTCTTGCAATCTGCTGCTTGGGTGATAGCTCCTGGGGGGACCTGCTCTTGTCACGTGCATACCTCCATCAAGCTTACGGTAGCTGGGTTGCCCGCGTTCCTCAGATTGCTCGTTAGTCCCTCGAAGCGTGGTGCCAACCTTGCAGCGCATTTGAACACGTGATCTAGCTAGCAAGAAGCACTGCGAGCCACACCGGCCACAGAATGGAGAGATCCAGCGCTAGACGGTCCAGAAGCTGGCCCTCAGCGAAGCCTTTGCATGCTGGACTCCGGACTTCATGTTGCACATACCAGTCGATAACCTGTCTTTCACCTGTCTTTTTAACTTCACGCACCATCTCCTCCAATGTCCATCTGCTGCCTCGGGGCGAGCCTGGAGCAGTGCCCTCGACTGCCACGTCTTGAACAGGCCCGCCTGTTCCAAGCACTCCCCCTGGCGCAGAAACCGCTTGTCACGTACTGTCGCGCTGGGTCAGTGCCTTTCTGCGCAATAGAATGTACCAGGCTGAGGTTGCCTGCCTCTGGCAAGATGCATCATCACGTTTGAGCTTGATTGCAGGTTTACCAGCACTGCCACTTATGGATCTTGATGCAACTTTGCTAGATGCAATGTGGCCAAGCGGATCTGCTGCTGAAGGCACTTATGTAGAAGAATTTTGCCTTGCAAAACCATATTCTGAGGCATCCTTTCCCAGGAATGGCCGGGGACGAACTTGTGCCACTGTCCACACGTGAGGCTGCCGTCGGTCACTCTTTTGCAGCGCGCTGCTTGAGCATGATCGCTCCTTCTTCGACCGGTCTTCTGACATCGGGCCGCTCAGGAAGCGTTGCATGCGAGTGTGTCGCAGACTTGCAGTTGCTGGGGCAGCTTGCCGTCTTCTGCCTTCCTCGATGAATTTCGCGCCCCGGCCCTAGGCACAGTAAGGATTCTTTGCTGGCCTGGCTGCAACGGCCCTCGCTGATGCTGCTGGCGAGTTATGCGAATTATAAGGTTGCGTGGAGGTCTGCCCGCCAGGCCTCTCAGGCAGCGAACGCCTGCCAGCCCAGCAGTGGGTCATGCTTTTCGCACCGGCTGCGCACGTGTCAATTTTGGCACAACGCCTGCCCACTGTCCATGACTGTGACAGATCCAGCTCCTCCCCCACGCCATCTCTTTTGCGGCTTAGCAGCTTCTCTTGCAGCCTAAACCCACGCGAGCATTGGATCATCAGTGTCACATTGCACGTGGCTCTGCGTCTGCCGGGGCCCTGCTGAAACCGCCAACCCTCCTTTGCATGACTCTGGCCGCGCCGGAGCTTGAGCCACAACCCTCCGAAGTGAAGTGCAGGCACAAGACCGGCTAAGTCTTCGGTAGGCGTGGCTGAGCCCAGGTCTCGTGCAAAGGGCATTCGCTCCTTCAACGTTTGCTTTTGTGAGGCGGCTGGAGGGTGTGTATGGGCATCGTGTCCTTGCCACGCAGAGATAGACACCGCAGCATGACCCTGCTGCCAAGCCGTTGTGAAAGCAGGGGTCCGTACCACAAGCACCACTCATGCATCCCATGCAGAACGTGCCGTATCGTAAGATGGGGTCCGTGCGGGCTGGCCATAACCAGCAGTGTATCTTAGGGTCGCTGATCTGCCGGCCCCACGCAGGCCTGTTGTGGCTCCCCAGCCATCGTGCTGGCGGAGGCGGGCATGCGGATCGCCTCACGTTCCTGATGCACGTGCAGGTGGCGGGCATGCCGGCCAACCAAAGCCTCAAATCCCAACAGCGGGGCAAGAGTGGCCCAGGATCTCGAGGCCCACCCATCCGGGCCAATGCCTCAAGCTTCGAACTGCTACGTGATGGTGGCTTGCTGCAAGCGGCTTGATGCTTGCAGGAGCCGGCAGCGGCGCAGCGGTCTAGCTTCAGGCTATGAAAGGGGCAGCGCGCCCTTCCAAAAGGTGTTCGAGAAGAAGTCCACACGCATTCTGGCCGTTGACTGGCTTGCCTTGAAGGTGCTCTGGATTCGTGTTGGCCAGCTGTCAAAAGCTTTGTGCATGCCACCGGCTGTCCGGCCAGTTTTCTTGGCCATCATACCCCGCCGGCTCCCAAAGACATCAAAGACCTTGAGCCAACCGGCCATGCCTCTGTGCGGAAGGTTTGGCAGCCTTTCGTGAGACACATGAGACACCCATTCTGCATGAAGCCGCCAGGCAAGCGTGGTGAATCATTGCGATGCCCACCCTGGCATCAAGAAGATGCGAAGCCTTATGAGTAGTGGGCTTTGCCCTTTGCCATCTCTTCTCGATTGTTAAGCAGTAGGCCATAGTTCACATTGTTCAACCGTCACTTTCACCATGAGGGCCAAGCTCCAGTCAACTGGCCGAGGACCCCCCGAGACTTTGAAGACCGGCGAGGTGCACCCGGTGCACCCCAAGGCGCATCCTACGGCGTCGCTCAAGGTGACAGGCAGCCCTCTCGGTTGGGCACCGCTTCAGCGCCGTGACCAACCATATGCGGGCGCTTTGGGGGCGCTCTATCGCCGCCCCGGCCATGTGTTCACACATTTTGCACCAGCGCGGCGCGGCCAAGTCTGCCAAGTCTGCCAAGTCTGCCAAGTCTGCCAAGGGCTTGAGGTGCGTCTGCAAGGCTAGCGGACATCGGCATATCTGCACCCCTCAACTGCCTTGCCTGTGCATGCGCTGGCTGTGAGAGTCGAGCTGCCGCTTGATGATGCTTCACGCACGTCGTGCTTGCATAGGTGTCCCGTGACTCCTGCAGAGCTTCAGGGCCTGCGGGTACGCCGCCAAGCCGGAAGACAGTCATGTGGAGCGTTCCCGAGTGCAGCCGCTCTTCCACGTTGTTTGCAGGACCTTGTGCGCTTCATGACCGAAGATGACGAGAACGGCCAAGACAAGCGGTCAGCAGGGTTGCCAAGTTGACCCCCAAGTTGACCTCGGGGTGTGCTTGAGTGCCTTAACTTCTTTGCAGGCTGCAGCGCCGCGGCAGCTGCATGCTCCCTGCCGAGCTGTTTCAAAGGGAATGAGCCGTCATTCAGACACCTCTTTGCTGTCTTGGCCGGTGCCGCATGCGGACGTGGATTCCTGGTCAGTGTTTAGGTGCTCCATACCCCAGTACTTGCCAAGCAAGAGTGCGGGGGCTTTCGGTTGGCTGCCTTGGCCCCGCTGTCATCCCTTGCATTCCCTGTTCTTCCATGCTTCCCATGTTCCACCCCTCCGGGTTGCCGAAAGTTGGCCACACCAGACTGAAAGACTTAAAGCATCGACGGTAGGCCAGTCATGCTCCTTGCGCACGATGCGAAGGAACCGAAGGAACGTTGCAAGAAGTCCTTTCTTGCCTGCGGGAAGGCGATCTCTGAAGCTGCCCTTCAGGTCGTGCGAAGTCCAAACATGGAGCTTTCCTTGTGCAGACATCGGCATCTGCACCCCTGTGCCAGCCTTGCGCATGAGCTGCCCCCTGGATGCCTTTGGCCGACCTTGTTTTGCATGCTTCGTCCCTGATGCCGTGCGGGCTCCGGCCTCAGTGCGTCGTGACTTGCATGTTTTGGGTCCAGGACACACGACGAGTCTCCTACCTCGGAGTGGCTGCGCAGCCCTTTGTAAGTTTGCATCTTGAGCACCGCATGCGCTGCCAATAACCCTGCGGACGGGGAGGAGAGAACGGCGCCGCACCCCGCATTCAGCATGTCGTCCTGTGTCTGCCGTTGCAGCGGACTAGGCCTCGTGATGTCGATCAGGGCACTTACGCGCATGCCGTCCCGGCCCAGCTTGCTCTCCGGCATTTAGCCGGCATGACGCTTTCTGCAAGCTAGCCTTGCAGGGCCTGCGTGGACGGCTTGTGGGCATCACGGCTGTCAAGACTTGATGCATTGCAGAAATCAGGGCACGACCTTCTGAGAACTCAGACAATCCTTGAGCCGTTTGTAAGCATCAGCCAGCGCAGCCACTTTCCTGGCTTCGTCCAGTGCGGCGGAGATTCAACATGCAATGCCGGCTGCACCGATGTGGCGGTCTTCAGCTCTGGCAAGTACCTCTGCAAGCAGTGCTCGTGACGGCTCCTGTTGACGTTGCCTGGCACTCACGTCATTCAAGCTTGGCCGCAACTTGCCGTCCCCGGCAAAAGCCGGATGGCCTGATGGGCCAGCTCTTCCTTCGATGCTGTCGTCGGCATGCAGCAAGTCGGTTCCTGCCGGGCTCGACCCTTTGTGGAGTTGAGTTTTAGCAGTTTGCCCCTTCCTCCGAAAGAGTTTGTAGTGCCTTTCAGGACAGACGCATGGAGACCGTCGCGGTCCAGCTTGCTCTCGAGCGTTTCGCCTACATGGAACTTTCTGCAGCTATAGGCTTGAACTGTTGAGAGGCACGAGCGGCATGTGCAGAGGGCTTGGCATCAGGCTAGGCGGCTGCGGCTGCGGACTGTCCAATGGGCTTCCCTCGGAAACGGTGCCTCTCAGTGAACAGGCTCGCAAGCCTTGCACTTTCCAGTTCCGATTGCACTGCCACGGTGCAAGCAGGAGGAGCAGAGAAGTTTCTGCTGGTCTCGCCCGAATGCCCTTTGTTGATGGCACCGACATCGGCCTTCTTGAGCTCCAGACTGGCTAAGCTTATGAACCCTCCTGTGCCAGCTTCCGGGATGCCCCTTGCTGGCTGCAAGAAGAGGCAGCGCTGGAAAGCGCCACGTAAGGTGAGGTGCCCTGAATAGCACAGAGAATCACCCCTCCAAGCAGGCCGGCATGTGCGCACTTCAGTGCGAGACCGAGCGGGAATGCCGTCATGGCCAGTTTGGGTTGAGAGCAGGACATCGTTGCAGGGACAGGCTTGCGAAAAAGCGTGGCCAGTTTGGTTTGAGGGCAAGAAATCGTTGCAGAGGCTTGCGAAGAAGCAGGCTTTTCGCTCCTGTGGTACCGTCGCCCTCACGTTATGCCGTGAGTCCCCATTGCTCATTGGCAGCTTGCTGCCTGCCTGCCACATGGAGTTAAGAGCTCGCAGCATGCTCAGCATGGTAGCCTTACTCTCGTTCACATCTCGCCCCCAGGTTTGGCGGCCCACACCAGTGCTGGCCAAGCTGGGAGTGGGCAGGAGACAGCAAAAGTTGGTGTTCAATGCTGTGTTACGGCAGAAATAAGACCCAGAACGCTCCACTGAGGGCTCGACACTGAAAGACGGGTCACAGTGCCATCGCTTCTTCTGCAAGCCCTGCCACAGCTCCTTGCGGGCTGGAGCCTTGAGAGCTCCAAGTGTCAGGGTGCCATCGAGACTGTGACTGTGATGTCAGTGATATCCACTGCCTCTTGCCCCCACATTCGCGGCAAGTACGTAGGCAGTGTGTCTGACTGCTTGCTCGGCGACCTTGCTCTTGCAGCATGCTCCTCGCGAAAAGGGGGCCAGGCAGGCTTGAGGATTCCCGATGCTATCGAAGCACCTTTGCCGCATCAAAGAGTCAAAGAGGTTGAAGTCCCGGCCAGAATAAAGCCCAGCTGTCCAACCGTCGTGTTCATCGTGAAGCCACCTGCGTGCCGGTCCTTCCCTTCTGCTTTGCCATCTTCATGTTGGCTTTAACTTCGTGCCGTGCGCAGAGCCTTAACACGAGAGGCTCCGGAACTGCAGAGTGCAAGCTGCTGGCAGCAAATGCGGCAAGGTGTCGCATCCCAAAGAGACCCAGCCGCATAGTCCCACGGCTTCTTGCGAGAAGACGCTGTCGACATGCCGAGAGGCCTCGTTTTCAGTGCACCGAGGACGGCGTGAAAGCGCCGTCTAAAACGGGCCGTTTGTGATGCATTGGTAGGCCCACGTTCGATTGGCAACGACGGGCGGCGTGCTGCGGCGATGACTTTTGATGCTTGCTCCCTTTTGTGCCGCAGTCCTACCAGCGCAAGCCAGGGCATCCAGGGACCATCGCGTTGCTGAGCCTCCAGAGAGCGGCGACGCGGGCCGCGCACCTGAAGCCTGCAACGCGGCAGCTCATGCGAGCGCGACGTGGGGCTCCGATGCGCGTGGCTGGTCGGGATCGGGCCACTTCTGCAAGATTCGGGCCTTGACCCACACGCGAAGAGCACACTGAGCTGAGTACGCTGGGAAGTCGGTCTGTCCAGGCCGCTGTCCGAATTGCGACTGGCCGGACGGCCTCGCAAATACCGCCAGTGCTTCAGGGCCTCGTTCTAGCTGCACTGAGCCTTTGTTCGCAGCAGGAACCACTGCATTTCGTCGATGACGCTCTGCTGGCCCTCCCTCGGCACTGATGCTCCTGGCTGACTTTGCCCATGTGTGCGAGTGCCAGTGTCCGTCCCGCTGGCGAGACGGAAAGAGAAGCCTTCTTCCGCCGTGGATGCGCAGCGCGCGCACGCGTCGCCGTGAAGCAACGATGCGAACTGTCGCCTTCGTCCAGCCACTGCCGCAACTTTATCCCGGCACAGTGGCCAGCCAGTTGCGTCGTTGACCTCGCAGCCAGATTACTGCTAAACGTTCCGCATGAAGGCGGACGGACGTGCACCTTCTCGAGGTGTAGTGATCAGGCAGCCAAGTTCATGAGCGTTGTGGGTATGATGCCCTCGGCATTGACCACCCGACTGTTGGCTCTGGCAGAAACTGCTGGTGCCAGCTGTTAACGCTCTCCAGTACCCCTCGTTGTCGCCAACTTGGGAAAAGCGTGCTGGGAGGGTCAAAGTCGTGAAGTGGGCTGGGTGTTCGGTTCGTTGCTCTTGCGTTGAGCAGTTTAGACCTTTTGCTTGCTGCGCTCGTCAGATTGTTGCTCAGTGTCTGATGATCTCCAGGAGAGCTATTTTCTGCTGAACACGCCGCGCCGCCGATGGCTGTTTCCTGCAAGGATTTCTGTGGAGTCTGTTTAGAGTTCGGCCATCTGTCTGTCAGCATCATGAATCCATGGACGCACAGCATCACGGTTTCCGGCAGATAATTACCTGACAGCAAGGGTGTTTCTTCATTTTAGGCGTAGCTGCTGTGGAAGAACCAGCCTTTTCTTTTGAGCGAAGAATGAGGGCCATAGAATCTCGTGGGTGTGAAGGCACACATGGGCATGCAGTATGGTCTCAGCTCATCTGAATCTAAAGTTTAGACCTGCATGTTCCGGTTTCTGGCAGGTCGCCACATTCTCGATGAAGGGGCCACGGAAACCAGTGAAGAGGTGAACATCACACTTCCTGCAACTTGGCTGCGTATTGTTTCGGAGAGAGTAGCTCACTTGAAGGATGGTGCTCTGCCTTGGGTCTGCTGGTTCCGGGCGACGGAACGACAAGAGTTTAAAAGGAACATCGAGACGTGGATCTCGAGGGTGCAGCGGTAGATGTGTAATTCTGCCGAAGAAAGTTGCCAGATTGGGCAGGCTTTCCGTGGTAGAGTATAAAGCGGTAAAGTCGAAAACGTTCGAAAACGATTCAGGCAAGCACGGTACATGAAAAAGCCGCCGAGCGCGGTAAAACGGTAAAAGCAGCGAAGTGGGCCGCCGACCAAAATGGGCCAAATCGCCCCAAGAACGGCGAGCAAAACACGGGAAGCGTGTAAAAGTGGCCACCAAAGCGGTAAAATGCGAGCAGCGGAATTTCTTTTTTGTCGCTTGTCATGCCAAATGCGTGCAGGATTCCGCTGTGCAAGCAAACGTTGCCAAGCTAGCTTACGTAGATTCAGGATCGTAATTGAGAAATGAGAGAACGGAACGCTCATGGAAAAATTGCGTTACCTTCACCTGCAGAAACGTGGAACAAAGGAAGAGGACGTCGGTTCAACAGGGCAATTGGGTTCCCAGCCGGCATGGAAACCTGCAATCAGTGGAGGCGCAAACACTTTCTGGAGGTGGGGTGCCAATTTGCATGAGAAGCAAGCAGAACACAGGCAAGAGACAGGGTTTCCCATGGCTTGTGTAGACCAGACAGACCTAAATCAAGCTCTCGAATACACCACCCCATTCGTACCCGAAGCCACTCGTCAACACTTGTTCTTCGCTTGTTGTGGTTGAGGCCTGGCCGCAGACGAGTGCAAGATTGAAATGCGAAGCACTTTCAGGATTTTTTGCCGACGCCCAGTTTCATGGAAACAGCTTGCAGGCGGCCATGCGAGCCTTCCATTTACAGGTAAGACCAAGTTCACATTTGTCAGGTTTTGATTCGTGATCTCCGAAGTCATTCGCCGCAAGTAGACGCAAGAACGGACCTTCCGTAAGCCCTGACAGCACGGAGTTGAACCCATAGAACTGATACCGCACTGTGACAACGTCTTCCTTCGCTACACCGTGGTCAAGTGCCCGACCATCTTGAGCATGCTATTTGCGCGGCCATAGCAGGCAGGTAACCAGATGAAGTGAGAGAGAAACAGCAAGAGCACTGGCCGTGCAGGGTTGATTGGCATGAGCCTGCCATCGGCCATCGGGATAGGCTGCTGCGGGGCAGCTGCAGGATCATAGGAATGCCAGCCAGCCGGCACATGCGGGCCCCGCTGAGATTTGTGCACTTTGGTGCCGACATGTAGCAGTGTAGCACGGACACGTGGCAACAGGAATGCATGAGCCAGTGGAGGCCAAGGAGCCATTCTGCATGCTTCAGGTACCAAGCTTGGCCAAGGCAGACGAAACCCTGGCGATCTGCGCGAACTCACTCACAGAGACTTGTTGCTTCGTGTACTCTCCTGTTGGATGCAGGAAGCACAGCCAAAGCTGCGAAGCCTGCACGGCATTGCTTTGCGCTGCGAGCTACATGCGCTGCACATGTGCAGCCCCGCAGCTCCAGCTGAGATTGTAAGGCGCTGACGTTTTAGGGCGATGCAGTCGTAGAGACAGGGCTGTGACAGCAGTGGCCGGATTGTCCCGGTGTTATCATCAGCGGGCCCATACCACCTGCTGCTGCGTGCTTCTGCACGTTGCCTCCGAGTCTTGTTATGTGCACGGTGTGCATGCGGCTCCGGTCGAAGAACGGACAGGGTGATCCAACTGCTTGTCCTGCATGAACAAGGTGATGAAAGCCAGGTGTGATCGCAGTGGACATGGGGCTGGCTGTGGCATCTATGACAAAATTTATGACTGGATCAATAATGACGTGTAATCCCACGATTCCATGTTGTTCACCGCGGACCTTGGGGTATCCCTCCGCATAGAAGGGTGGCTTTGTTCATAACGTTGCCTTTGCCATGCTGGGCCAGCTTGGCTAGCCTGGCTGCGCGTGCCTGCCAGACATTGCGACACGTCCACCGCAATCGAGCTGGTGACTGTGCCATCAGTGCCTTAGTGCCTTGATGGTCGCTCACCCACTCCTTACATTTCTGAGCATGACCCTGTTGCCAGGCTGGACTTCGGGCAAGGGACAGTCGGTAAGCGTAAGCTGGGGGGGATGATTTGCCACAGGACAGCAACGTAGCTTCGTCAGCCAAAGAGGCACGGGAAATCGCATCGGGAAGTCGTCTATGGCCGAGGCGTTGTCGTTTTCGACCTGCGCGGTCCGGGCCGCGAACGTTCAATATTTCAAGCCCTGGCTTGGCAAGATTCTGCCGTGGTCGGAATGCCACACCTCGTACTCAACAGTTCCATCCAGGGACGGTTCTGCCATTGGGATGGGCTGCTGCGGGGCAGCTTCACAGCCAGCCGGCACATGCGGGCCCCGCTGAGATCTGTGCACTTTGGTGCCGACATGTAGCAGTGTAGTACGGACACGTGGCAACAGGAATGCATGAGCCAGTGGAGGCCAAGGAGCCATTCTGCATGCTTCAGGTACCAAGCTTGGCCAAGGCAGACGAAACCCTGGCGATCCGCGCGAACTCACTCACAGAGACTTGTTGCTTCGTGTACTCTCCTGTTGGATGCAGGAAGCACGGCCAAAGCTGCGAAGCCTGCACGGCATTGCTTTGCGCTGCGAGCTACATGCGCTGCACATGTGCAGCCCCGCAGCTCCAGCTGAGATTGTAAGGCGCTGACGTTTTAGGGCGATGCAGTCGTAGAGACAGGGCTGTGACAGCAGTGGCCGGATTGTCCCGGTGTTATCATCAGCGGGCCCGTACCACCTGCTGCTGCATGCTTCTGCACGTTGCCTCCGAGTCTTGTTATGTGCACGGTGTGCATGCGGCTCCGGTCGAAGAACGGACAGGGTGATCCAACTGCTTGTCCTGCATGAACAAGGTGATGAAAGCCAGGTGTGATCGCAGTGGACATGGGGCTGGCTGTGGCATCTATGACAAAATTTATGACTGGATCAATAATGACGTGCAATCCCACGATTCCATGTTGTTCACCGCGGACCTTGGGGTATCCCTCCGCATAGAAGGGTGGCTTTGTTCATAACGTTGCCTTTGCCATGCTGGGCCAGCTTGGCTAGCCTGGCTGCGCGTGCCTGCCAGACATTGCGACACGTCCACCGCAATCGAGCTGGTGACTGTGCCATCAGTGCCTTAGTGCCTTGATGGTCGCTCACCCACTCCTTACATTTCTGAGCATGACCCTGTTGCCAGGCTGGACTTCGGGCAAGAGACAGTCGGTAAGCGTAAGCCGGGGGGGGATGATTTGCCACAGGACAGCAACGTAGCTTCGTCAGCCAAAGAGGCACGGGAAATCGCATCGGGAAATCGTCTATGGCCGAGGCGTTGTCGTTTTCGACCTGCGCGGTGCTTCAAGGAGCATCAAATTGAGATCCTTTAGAGTTTTAGGATCATTCCCTGGCCGTGCAGTGAAAACAGCCTGGACCGGGCATGACACGCTGGTGCCGAAACACCCTCGCATGAAGTGGCTCGGGACAAACAGTTTTGTCGCTGACAGGCTGACATTGCAAGCGAGCCTTCAGCGACCCCCGCGACCCTGCTTTATTCGGTGCTGACAGGAGCTGTGCTCTCTGGCAGTCTTCCTCGAGCCATGCCATGTCTAAGAGCCACAAGGCATACCGGCCTGGTGTTGTAGTCGGGTCCACGTTGGCTGAGCTCAGCCCCACGAGGTTGGAACGCAGCCTCGGGCCTGGGCCACGGCCACCAAAGACGTCATGGGCAATTGCTGGTGGTTGAGCTCGCTTGCAGCAGGCGGCCAGTGGCATGCGGGTGCATGTTGATCAGGCTGACTCTGCGGGCGCATGTTTGCTTCCGTCTGCAGGCCAGAAACATTCTGGTGGAGTGTTGGGGCAGGTAGCTTTCCGCATGTGTAACCCATGACCGATGAAGCCTGCTGCCCTCACATGCTGGCTTCTGAGGGAGACTTGTGGCCCAGGTCCCACCACTTCTGTCGTGTCAGCGTTTGCACATGATGCCCCCATGCCGATAGAGCCACGGAAGCGTGTGCTCCATGCTTGCAATCGTTTCCAACATTAAGTAGTCATACCTCTGGTATCTTTGCTCGCTGCCTGCTCTCCTTGGCTTGAGACTGCGATGGCTGAATGGCCCCAATGGGTGGACCTGCAGAAACTTGGGCGTCCCCCAATAGATCCCAATAGCAGTCGACCATTCGACGTCTGTCGTGCTGCAGTAGCAGATTCGAGTGCGGAGTCAGATCAGGCGGCAGTTGAAGTTGGCCAGCACACGACCTTGCTGTTGCATTAAGGCGTTAAACATTGTGTTCAGCAAAAGCAAGGCACCGCCCCGTGGCTGCTGGCCTACAGCGAAGCCTTGGATTTAGATAGACTGTGTGGACTGTGACTTCATCGGTTTCTTATTCTTGCGGTCCGGCGAGCCTTCGGCGACCCCCGCGACCTTGCTTTGTTTGGCACGTGGCCTCGCTGTCTCCCATCGCGGCATCCCACTTCTCACGCCGGGCAGCCTAACAGGCTGTGCCACACATGCTCAGCGGTCAGCAGCAGCTATGCTCTCCAACGCAGTTTCTCGAGCCATGCCATGTTTGGGAGCTACTGCAACCCATCCTGTCCTCGCGTTGTAGTTGGGTCCATGTGGGCCGAGGTCGCGTTGTAGTCGGGTCCACATTGGCTGAGCTCATCCCAGAGAAGTTGGAGCACAGCTTCCAGCTTCTTGTTAGCATGAGGCCACGGCAACCAAAGATAGCATGGACAGCTCACTTGCAGTAGGCAGTCGGAGGCACGTGCATGCAAGTGCAGATTGATCAGGCTGCAATCTGCACGGCCGTGCTCATTCCCTTTGCGTGGCATGTGCCTTGTGTTGAAGCATGTTGCCTGCAGCAGTGCTGCAACTGCCATGGCTCGGCTGGCTATGTGAGGGCAGCGACGCGACATCGTCGTGCCCTTGTGCGCCGCCTCGAGCACAGATGGTGCAGAGGGAAACATGGTAGGAGCCTCCTCTCAGCGTGCTCTTGAGAAGTTGCAGCTTGGGCATGGCACCCGCGAAGACTTCTTGTTCGCCATATTTGTCGTCATTGTGCTGCATTCTTTGAACACATCGTCGACTGCAGCTCTTGATCAAGAAGTTCTTGCTGGTAGCCGCCAGCTTCCGTACATTCTGCTCCAGCTGCCTTTGGGTAGCAGGCGGACTGCAAATGCAGGAGCCATAACTGCCGGCACCTAAGATGGCGCCCTCGACTCCGCAACGGCATTGCTGGTAAGTGCAAGGCGCCTTGTCTATGTCCCATCTCTGGATGCTGGTGTCAGTCTTACTGGCCCCAGCCTCTTCTCCTCGTCTACAATGCTTCTCCAAGCCGTCAAATCGCATGCAGACAAGGTGGGTGTTACAAGTTACAAGCGTCCTTGGCTCGGCCATGCGCCCGAGCTCGCGTCACAGGACAAGGCCTGCGCCTTCAAAGAAGAGCACATCGAGATGCTTTAGAGTTTAGGATCATTCCCTGGCCGTGCAGAGGGAGAATCCTGAACCGGAGATGACACGCTGGTGCTGAAACACCCTCGCATGAAGCGGCTCGGGACAAACAGCTTTGTCGCTGACAGGCTGACACTGCACGCGAGCCTTCAGCGACCCCCCCGACCCTGCTTTATTCGGCGCTGACAGGAGCTGTGCTCTCTGGCAGTCTTCCTCGAGCCATGCCATGTCTAAGAGCCACAGGGCATACCGGCCTGGTGTTGTAGTCGGGTCCACGTTGGCTGAGCTCAGCCCCACGAGGTTGGAACGCAGCGTCGGGCCTGGGCCACGGCCACCAAAGACGTCATGGGCAATTGCTGGTGGTTGAGCTCGCTGGCAGCAGGCGGCCGGTGGCATGCGGGTGCATATTGATCAGGCTGCACTCTGCGGGCACATGTTTGCTTCCCTCTGCAGGCCACAAGCATTCTGGTGGAGTGTTGGGGCAGGTAGCTTTCCGTATGTGTAACCCATGACCGATGAAGCCTGCTGTCTTCACATGCTGGCTTCTGAGGGAGACTTGTGGCCCAGGTCCCACCACTTCTGTCGTGTCAGCGTTTGCACATGATGCCCCCATGCCGCTAGAGCCGCGGAAGCGTGTACTCCATGCCTGCAACCGTTTCCAACATTAAGTAGTCATACCTCTGGTATCTTTGCTCGTTGCCTGCTCTCCTTGGCTTGAGACTGCGATGGCTGAATGGCCCCAATGGGTGCGACCTGCAGAACTTGAGCGTCCCCCAATAGCAGTCGACCATTCGACGTCTGTCGCGCTGCAGTAGCAGATTCGAGTGCGGAGTCAGATCAAGCGGCAGTTGAAGTTGGCCAGCACACGACCTTGCTGATGCATTAAAGCGCTAAACGTTGCGTTCAGCAAAAGCAAGGCACCGCCCCGTGGCTGCTGGCCTACAGCGAAGCCTTGGATTTAGATAGACTGTGTGGACTGTGACCTCATCAATTTATCATTCTTGCGGTTCGGCGAGCCTTCGGCGACCCCCGCGACCTTGCTTTGTTTGGCACGTGGCCCGCTTTTTCCATAGTGGCATCTCGCGCGAGGTACGGTGGCATCCCACTTCTGACGCATTAACAGGCTGTGCGAGACACACTCATCGATGCTGGTGAGGAATTGTGCTTTTGAGCACAGATTCTCGAACCATCAGGGTCGTCTCCCGCATTGTAGTTGGCCAAGTCAGCTGAAAGGACCGGCATTCCGATGCCCCCGGCCTCCGCCTGCGTTTGAAGATTGCACCCTTGTTCTCCCAATGCAGAGAGCATTTTTGCCTTTGAAAGGGTTCTTCAACGGATTCGGGCGAGCTAGGCGGGCTGATCCAAGAGGAGTTCCCCACAGGTGTGGAGCATGGTGTAAGTTTGGACTTGTCGCTCCAAAGCACTTGGACGGTCGTCATTCTTCCACTGATGTTAACGGCAGGGTGCACAAAGTGTCGAGACTCGCGTTAGGCAGGTGGCCGGCACCATGGGCAGATGACGACCCTGTGGCCGGATATGTTCTGAGTAAAACGGGAACTGCCCATGGCCAGGCTTCTCATTCTTCAGAGGGCAGCTGATATTTCTAGGCCCCCAAGGCCACACTTCTGGGGGAATCTGCAGCACGTTTTCCGCAGCTCTTCGGATCCACTCTCAAGCTCTCAAGCTCTCAAGCTCTCAAGCTCTCAAGCTCTCAAGCTCTCAAGCTCTCAAGCTCTCAAGCTCTCAAGCTCTCAAGCTCTCAAGCTCTCAAGCTTGAGCCCACGGCCCGAAGCCATGAGCTCACCTTGGTCGTTTGCCTTACGCGGCATGCAAGAGGTTACCTCACGCTTGCTCGGCATGTCCTTACCATTAGAGTCTTAGATGCTGCGACTGCGTCGCAGGGCAAGCAGGGCAAGCAGATGCCCAAGGAGGAGCTGCTTGCTCTTAAGATGTAGTTGACATGTGCCTGTGACAGCTCCGCATGCTGGAGCCCTCCATCAGCCATCGGCCATGGCTTTCAAGAAAGGTTCCTTGCCGGAGCTCCCCAGCACGCTTCGGCAAGGAAGCAGGGGAGAAGCTTTTTTGGACCTATTGAAGGAAGCAGTGGACATGATGGCGCGTCGCAGGCTGTCGCTTTCGGTGATGCGTGTGGGCAGGTTTTGAGCCCTAGAATCTTTGGAAGTTGGCGTGTTCATCTGCGCTGTTTCCGTCCAGCGGTGCAGTTTGAGTTGAGCCGAGAGCAACGGTGGAACCCACAAGGGCCAAGGCAGATGGTTTATGTCTTTGCCACTTCGCTTGAAACCCGCAAAATCCTCTCCTTTTCCAGTCAACGTCCGGCTGGATTGAGTGTCGTGAGTTCTGAAGCAGTGCTTTGGCTCACGTGTTAGCCGTGAGCGAAGACCGCGGCCTTTGAATTTGGTGCCTGGCTGCTTGCGTTACGTCGTTGACCGCGTTCAGATCGGCTTTGATGAGGAGAGGTTCGTGAAGAAGGTAGTGCATCAGTCGCGCGGAAAGTTTACAGCCCGGGTGCACGCTGCGTTTCTCCTGACACACCCATCGACGTGTTGGCCTAGAGAAGCCGCGGGGGCATTCAGGCCTCATTCGAGCGTCAACACGTGCCCCGCATGCAAGCTGCGTGCCGGAGACGCTGATTCCAACCTCTCTGGTCCTCCACAGCTGTGCTGACATGACCCTTCCTTGCATTCTTGCATATGCTTTCTGCGAGCGCATGCTAGCTTGCAAGTTCATTCCCCGAGAAGTCGCAGCACAAGTGCTTGTCGCCTGTCTTTGCCCGACGTGCGGCCCCTCCAGTAGGATTCCTGGGCCGATCGCGAAGTCAAGTGCCCGAATTGTCAGAATTGTGCCATGCTCGCGGTTTGTTGCCTTGTCCGATCCTGTCCGCAAGTGAGTCGGCCTCGCTGTCTCAAGTGCCAAGGATCCACACACCCTTCCAGGGCATTTCTTCATGCAGGGTCTCGGCGCCTTTGCGCAGCAAGCTGTTGATATGAAGGTGGCGCATTGACCCACGGAGAAATCTGATGCACAGGGGGAAGAGGTTGGACACGTGCTGAATTCGTGGCCCCGATGGGATGATGATTCCGGCTTGGACGAACGTAGTAGCATGGGATGCATTGTGGTGCTCCTGTTGAGGAGGTTGGAACCCTTCCTACTGCAAGCAGTGCCACCACGCCTCTTCAAGCGTGTCTGGCGTACTTACCCTTGTTCAGCAGCATCATGCAAACCAATGTGACATGTAATGTGGCGGCATGTTGTTGCTTTCGCAGTGGAAGCTAGCATGTGGTCCAATACATCTGCAAAGACACGGGCTGCAAGGACTTTGGATAGCACTTCGTGCGTCACCACAGCTCTACTACCTCAGCCAGTGTTCTGGCGGCGCCCTTGCGTTTTCGACTTCCACTCGAGTGTTGCGGCCGTGTGTCTGTCCAATGACTCTTCTAGTGCTCACTCGTCGCGGATCTCAGTTAGCACGTCTTTGTGTGAGGTCTGTGTGAGAGCGCGTGAGGCACAGAGCGCAACGTGTGCATCTTGCAACATGCCTTCAGCTTGGGCGCAAGTGCAGGATGAGCGTGACGGCAGTCTCGATGGCGCGGTAGTGCTCAGCTAAGATCGGAGCTGCATGGTCTTCTCCCGCCATGAGTGTAAGCCTGAGCTGGAGAGGTGCAGTTGTGCGAAATTGTGCGAAAGCGTTACCGCGTCAGGGAGGCCTAGTGAGGCTGGGTCAGGATGTGCTTAGCAGGGGGTGAGCCCTAGTTGAGTTGCGTAGGGCTTACAAGTCCACGGGCCTGCCGGTCGATAGCGATTGGGGGGCTTCAGTCCCCGCATGAATCAACTTCTAGATTCAAAAGTACCAAAAGTACCATTCAGACTTGGAGGAAGCAACATTTGATGTCCGGAGTGGCTGTTTCGCCAGAGTCAATCCTCACCGACCTCACTTTGACCGGCTGTGGGCAAGTTGCCACGATGACTCAGCATGCCCTCAGTTCAACTGGGCTTCCCGGAGGTTTGGGCTTCAGGGTTTCGATTCCAAGGCATCCGGCAGTTCGCCCACGGCTGATATGAGCCGTCCGGCTAGGCCCGGGCATGCATTCCATCAACCAACGCTGCTTGGTGAGCGAGTGTAGGCACATTTGTGGCAATTGAAGAGTTCTGCTTGGGTTCTCTGCTGTTCAGGCCTGCACTATTACGCCCTGCGATGATCATCTCCATTCCTCCCCAGCTCCTGCTGGTAGCCTCCGGAGAGGTGCTTGGTTGAGGGTGGAGTGTGGACAAAGTACGATAAAGAGGGTAAAGCCTCGAACCTGATATCGTTCAGAGCAGGGGTGTTGGTGCGGGAGGTGTGGGTGCAGAGACACTTGACCCATTGCATCTCACCGGGCAGCGACAGCTGGTAGCCACGGTAGCTACAAGCTGAATGCCCCGCCCCCTGGCACTGACAGGTTTGAGCAGGATTGACGTTTGCACTCCGCGAACTCGCGGGGTTGTTTCGTTGCAGAAATGTGGGTTGATCTTTGCATGGGCATCGCTCGCACACTGCCTTGAAATCAGGCCCAAGGCATTTCACTCCTGCAGAAGAGTCCGCGCGATGACGACGTGCTCGTCCACCTAGAACATGGGAAAGCCTTCGACATCCTATCGACCTGCTTGACGCGTCTTGTGTTATCGCCAATGGTCCCACACGAATGCGTAACCACCAGTTGAGTGTTTTTGCATGGTGCCCAGGCGTGAAATCGATATGTCAGCAAGGTCGGCGCTGAGCCAGTGCTGAGCCCATCTTTGCGCCCGTGTTGAGTCTATGCCGCTGCCACTTGCAGATGCTCGGAGTGGAGGGTTGGCCCATGACTCCAGCTCCGCAGCATCATGCATCCATTGTTGCCACTGTCGGCGGAAGCTCTCCACCACACCTGCAAGAGAAGTGGTCCTGTGACAAGAGCTGTATTGATTCTTTCGATTGACTTCTGAGGCCTGTTCCTGCCATTTTCAGGCTTGAATGGTCTGTGGCTGTGCAGGTGTCTCGAGCCCCGTGTTGTCCTTGAGGTGGCGACCTCATCTTATCAGGGAGCCGGCGGCTTTCATCCCTGGTCGCGCAGCATGTGCTGAGGCTGGCTAGTTTGCAGGACGGTGCCTTATGCATCCTCCGCTTGTGCGAGGCCTTTAATCATTTAATCCCTGTAAGTCCTTGAGCTAAGCCGCTGAGCCCCTGACTGTGCAACATGCCGCCTCCGGGGCCTGGTCTGCCACTTTGCTGCCACTTGTTCCGCATCGCTGCCGAGGCTGCGGAGGCTTGTAGGCCTCAATCGCTGGAGGAGCTGGCTCCCTTCGGGCTGTGCACATGACCCGAACAGGGGGACATTCAGAAGGAGACAGGATGTAAGCAGTGCAAGCAGTGCAAGCAGTGCAAGCAGTGCAAGCCGTGTAAGCAGTGTAAGCCCAGCCGTCTTGCGACCAGCACTTGGCCGTCTTTCAGCACAGGAGCTCAAGGCTGCCCAGCGTTGCTGTGAGCGTTGCCGCAGGATCAATGGCGAGCAGAGGCAGTTTGAGCGCCTCTGGAAGTAACAATGAAGTAACAATGAAGTAACAATGAAGTAACACATAAGCCCAAAGCATGGTTTAAGGTCACGGGCTAGCTGTGCTTTCCTTTGGCAGTTCGGCGAGGGCTTCCCGCGCACATGCCTCCGTTGCAGCTTGCAGTACCCGAGATTCTTTTTTTCATTCGGAGGCAAGCCAGTGCCCCAGCTGAACCAGTTCAGCGTCGTAGCCATTGACGGAAGCCTGCTATTGGCACTTGTTCCTGCGTCGATCTGACCACAGTGGATCGGCACCAAGGAAACGGCTGCATGTTTGTGTGCTGTTTGCCCAAACCTCCACATCACGCACGTCCTGTCCTGGTAGCCGGTGCTTCGACCAAGATCTCCCCGAAAGGTCCACAGGGGAGCCACACTTGCCGAAGGATCAGCACAGTGTCTGTTGCTTAACTGTGAGCAGTGTACAGGATTTCTACTAGTATCAGGTTGCCACAGGCTCAGATGCACAAGTTGTCATCCGCATGGAGCAGATGAGGGAGCACAGTGAGGCTTTTCTGATGCAGCGCGGGATGTGTCAGCAAGGTGGTGAGGTGGCACAGACGCCCCGACGAGCTTCCAAATCTTGAGGCATGTCAGCGTGTTTGGTCCAAGTGCAACTATCACGGCAAAACAACGGCAGAGCTGCTTTTCTCGCTTTGTAGAATGCGATTGCAAGCGGAGTGGCACCGACAGCTGCCTGTTGCTGCCCATTGCTGCGTTCTCTGAACGTCTCCGCTTTGCATCAAGTCAAGTGACGTTTTTGCCGGCATTCACCTGCCGCCACCAGCCTTCAACCCTCGCAGTCGCACTGTGCATCGCTTGAGCCTTAAACCCACCACTGCAGCTTTGCATTGAAGCATTGAAGCCTGTGTGGTAGACACCAGCAAGTCTTGAGTGTTTGCAGCCGAGCGCACACGAAATTTCCTGAGCTGGCGCCTCTCCGCAGCAGATGCATGTGCCCTCTGCCGATTTCTTCTTGCTGCAGCCTGTTGTCAAAAGTCTTAACTTGGGCATAAGCACTTAGAGTTCCATTTGTGCAATCGTCAAGAACAACTAGCCATGTACTGGAGGACCAACGATGTAAGAATAAGTGTAAGACGCGCCCCCCGCCCCTCTACCAAAAACGCGATGCATTTTTGAAAAACAAGCCTTGCAAAGCGATCGGGGGCCCCTTGATTATCCGTGGGGCATATATAAGAAGCGGAAACGCATCTGATCCAGAATCCAGTCCAAATTAGTTCGGGCATCAGGCCGTCCCCCATTGTGCAACCGTAAGTCTGACATGACTCGTGCTAGGTCCCTACCCAAGAATGCCTCAAGGAGACAGAGCCAGAAAAGGTGGCAGCACCCGCTTCTGGCATCGACATCATGCGTGCACAAATGTCAGGCATACAACAGAGCTACTTAGCTCGGAAGGTTCTGTTCACACAGTGTCTGGTGGCGGGCACATTGCAGGATGGGTCAGCATAAAGGAGGAAACTATTTTGTATAGTTTGATGACAGCACCCTTGTAAGGTGCTTTCAAAGTCATGCGCATGATGCTGGCGGATGCTCGTGCTCGGTGGATCTTGCTCTTTGCGGCTCGGTCGGGCTGAGATCGAGAAGCCTTGTTGCTCGAAGAAGCAGCTTAAGCACAAAATGTCAAAATATATGGCCTTGGCTGCAAGCTAAAGCGATTGCGCCAGGAAGCTCGAGGTGAGTGGCCTTCCCTGCCTCCGTAGTGGTTTGGTTGCTGCTAAAGGAAGCGTGCTTGTGTTTTCGATATCCTAGTCCCCTAGTCTGCTCCAGGAGCAGGCTGTGCAACACACTTTATTCGAGCTTGTTGTTGAACCTTGATCTCCTTTGTTTTGGCTAGCTTGAGAAGCTAGCAGCGAATGATTTCTGTTTTGTGGCTGGGGGTGCCGTGCCACGGCACCAGCTCAGGGCGACTGTTGCATACCGAAAAAGTCGGTGGGGATGCATGCGCGCAGGAAAATCCTTGAAGTGGACACGTATCCAGAAGCGGCGTTTGCAGTTGTGTGGGCCAAGAGCAGTCAGGTGCCAGATGAGCAGGCCGTCCAGGTCTTGGCTAAAATCGCTAAAACCCGGACTTGTTGCATGGTGCACAGCCGCCCTGCAAACAGTCTTTTTGCGCAGGCCTCACCTGGGGTAGCACCCATCATTTACTCTGCAAGGGGGGGTCAGCAAGTTGGCTTAGTTCTAGTCGTCTTCCCATCTTAAAGCTTACACTTGATTGAGCACAAGGGCCTCAACACGACTAGTGGAAGGCCTGGTGATGTGCGACTGCAGTTGTCAACTGCTCTGTCTGTCCTTTGCCCAGGCACAGGATCTCTTGGATTGTGCCGTCCTCGAGTCTGAGCATCCTTTCAGAGTTAGGGAGGCTGTGGGCTTGCAGGTCTGAGAAACCGAATGCAAACTTGACCCGCCGCCATGCACGCAGTGCTCGCACCTCACGCTTGAGAAGCAATAGCATGCAGCTCTTTGTGCTTGCATATTCTAGGCCTCATTCTTGCCGACTATCGTTGCGCAATGGCCTCTAGGATAGCCTAATGCCCAGGCCACATTGCTGGACCAAAAGATTTGAGGAACAGAAGGTCAAAGTCGTTTCCCGCAGATGGGGCCTTAAAAAAATGTTTCGATAAGTTTTCCTTGCCGTCCTTTCCCCCCTAGCGCTGCAGCGCTTTGCTTCTGTAATTTTGATGGCATCGAGGCACTCAGACGGACAAGGCGGGAACCCTCTAATCGTAATCGTCGCTCATGCAAAAGTTCAAGGTGCGAGCGCTCGCACAACAGTTGTCAGGCATATGTTTTGTGTAGGAGGCACCTGTGTGGCCCAATGCTCGCGCCCCGGCTGTCACAGCAAGCGCTTGCACAAGACCGCCAGCGAGGACACATCAGAGCGCACCGCTTCCTTCGAAACAAAGTGTTTCTTCCTTGAAAAGTCTTCAGCAAAAGGCTCTGACACGTCGTGCAGGTTGACAGCAGGCGCCAGGGTGCAGACCTTCAAGTCAAGGTACTTATCCTGTGGAGGGGAGGCACCACTCTACGATTGAAGGGGACAACACTGCCAGCTGCCAAGGACTCTTCAGCTAAATCGCTCATTTTGGCGGCGGAAAGCTGTTGGAGTTCTTGGCGAAGCGTGCACCTTCACCAACACAAGGTATGCGTTGCCCCAACCTTGCAGGGACATGTTGTGCATTTGATACACACAGGGCAATCTTTGACGTCCCTGCGCTTGACTTGGGCAGTCTCTGTCCTGATCAAAAAAGGCTCTGGATCAGCTAGCCATTGTCACCAAGAGCTTTGGGGTACAGGAGACACACACACACAAGTGAACGGCCCGGCCAACCTTTTGCGCACCTTCAACAGAGTTTAGCCGTCACGTGTTCGTGCCAGTCCTCAAGATGATTGTTAACAGGAATTATTGATGGGCTCTAGGACAGAAGACAGATCACTAAATCAAAGTATTCGTTTGACAGAGAGCATAGGCCGAGTACGACTTTGCTGGCGCACATGAAGTTCAGCGAGCATTCGGTAGACTGTAGCATGTAGCAGAAAGGGTCGGGCCGGCATTCAAAAACCCAAGAATGCTCGAGTAGCAGGCGTAGTTGGATCGCAGCACTTGGCATTGTGTTAAACAGCTCACAGCCCAGTGTAGGTCACGTTGCGACAAGGTCCCTTTGTTTTGCTGCTCCGACTCGAGGCTGCCTGTTAGTGTCATGTCTAGCTGAAGCAGTTGCCCCAGAGTAGGGAAGTTGGTTTGCATGTCCACACTGGCTCAGTTTATTCGACCCCTTGTCCTCTTCCAAGAAGAGGGCGCGCATAGAAAACTGCACAAGACGACCGAGAATCTTGTATGGCATGGCCTCTACACGGCATGATGCCGCCGAAGATGTGAAGCCCAGGGTACCACACGAAGGTAGCCGACCAGAGATTGCTGCCAGCCACACGCGCCCAGCGTCACATCCATGCGCAAGAGCATCAGAACCAGGGGCCAAGGCGTTCGAGGAGGATGTAGCAGCTGAGCACGTGGATGATGGAGAGCAGATGCAACGCCAGGTGGAGATGGCCCGTGTCATTGCCAGCCTAAAGCTGACCAGACCCGAGATTCTGCGCACAACGTCAGCACACAATGTCTTACATCGCTTTGGCTTCGTCCTGCGCAAAGGTCCGTACTCTACGGAATACGAGAGGAGTTCGCAAAGCCAGGAGATCGCACAGTTTTGGTCACACTCGTGGCATGGACCGGTGTTGGCCAAGATCATGCTGCTGTACGTTGTCTGTAATGGCTTCCCAGCAGCTGCGATGGGCACGATAAGCATAGCAGTTGCGAAGACGTTGGCATGGCACTGTGTTTTGCCGTGCGATGACAGGGCTTTGGAAGCAACGCTGTGTCTATTCATTGGCTTGCTCGTCTCCGGCTTGACTCTGGCGTTCTGGAGACCGAGCAGGAGGATTTTCTTGGACAAGATCTGCATCAACCAAAAGGACGTAGACCTTCGGACGGAAGGCGTCCTTAACGTCGGTGCTTTTCTGAAATGCTCCAAGTCGATGCTTGCGTGCTGGGATGCTACCTATATGCAGAGGCGCGGGTTCAGCGAACACCCCACGCCATCCAGAGCCGCTCGTGAGCTCGCGTTGAGGTTCTTTTCTTTCTGGCTGGTCTACGGTCTAGTTGGTGTGGGCTTGAGTAAGGATGCTACAGGTTCTCTCATTCCATTAGTGAACATGTTGAGAGAATGTCGGAGTTCAGCATGTTTTTCACCGTGCCAACTTGTTATCTGACAAAAAAAATCGAAGGGGTGCCCTGCGAGGCTTTGGTGTGTGCTGGAAATGGCTGCATTTTTGACACCGGCAGGGAAATTAGGAAATCAGTTGTTCGGTTCCGCTGTTCTGGCCGTGCTAGTTGGTTCCCAGCCATCGTTGTGGGTTGAACTTAGGACAAGTCACAGCAGCAGCGCGGAGTTGGACATCAAGCCGGTCCATGCAGGGCCCTGCGTCATCATTTCCTTCGCTTGCATCTCCGTCTTCCTGATGCTGCTGAATCCAGTTCCTCGGAAGCAGCTGTAATCACCTGTATGCCGCAGAGTTTCCAGGTATCTGTATGGTGAAGACTCTCCGCCCAAACTTGGGCTTGGTGAGCACCGAGAACATACATTCCACCCCTTTCTGCCTTGGAAAAGCGGTGTCGCCAAGGCTTTGGACTTCATGGTCAGCTGGGTTGGCAGCGATGTATGGTTTTATCTGCTGAACGCCGTCACGACACTGCCGATCATCACCGTGTTTCTCAGCGTTCTAAGCTAGAATGCTAGTGAGCTTACTGGGGCCAGTGGGAATCTGTACTCTGATTTTTCCCGAAAGCACTGGGAAGGGTTCTTCGGAAAGAAGCGCTTGCCCTGAACTACACCATAGCACCCTGCGAAGCTTCACCACCACACCGCACTACCGCGCCACCTACACTGCCACTATTTAATTCTATATTTCGTAGCCTGGGGTAGGTTTGGTGGGGGCCAGCGGGACGCGCCCCTCTGCGAAGAATCGGGCGTGTCGAAGCGCCGTCGCTGTGCGTTTTTGCGAATCTTTAGCGTGGCCGACGAACCCTCCGCGGGGATCGTGCGTGTAGTGCGTTTTTCCGCATTTTCAACGTGGCCGACGAACCCTCTGCGGCGGCGAGCTGCGCCAAGACCACAGCACCTATACACCACACCTACTTCACTGCACCTGCGCCGCGCCACGACCAGCGCACTTACAACACCGCCAGATACGCGTCCCTGGCAAACGTCGAACTGATTGCTTTCCGGATACTCGGTGTCTGGTTTAAGACTCTTCTGTGTGCTTCCAGGTGCTTGTCTTTGGCCACTGCAGCCCTGCGGATGTACTTCCGGGATGTTGAAGCGGTGAGGGAGCAGCTGCGGAGATTTTCCTTCCAGAGGGACCCTGACTGCGCCTGTTGCAGCTTGGATTTGTCAATAGTTTTGTTGTTGCCAGTTCCACATAATCATTCATCTGACCATCCATGTTGCCTTCAAAGTTGGTGTGTGGGTGCGTGCACCCAGTCTCCAGTCTCTTCCATCGGGGCATAGTGAGGGAAACACAGGTACGTACTGCCGAAACAGTTTGACTTTGCGTTGGAGTAGCGCCGCGGAGTGCAGGCAACATGAGCAAGTTCATTCTGATTCGTGTTGTCCATGCCACGCAGGTGCGCTGAAACACGTCCATCCGAGCAGCGGCCGTGCTTTGAACTGTGACAAAGAAACCCTTGGGCAAAGTATTCGCTTATGGTTCGGCTCCGTAGATGCTTTTGACACCTTTGTTCAGCAAGACGTGCTGTTTGCCTTCAACAAGACTTTTGCGAGCTACGGCTTGCCGTACTCATGGCTAGCTGGAGCCACCGTACCAGTGGTCTGGTGCGGAGTGGCCTACTACATACCGCAAGACGACGCATTTTCCGGGAACTTGTTGCCAGAGTTTTCGACGGTGTTTCTTGGATTGGATCTTACTTCACTTTCCCCTAAGGCCTCCAATGCTCTCTTCTTTTTGCCCCTCACTGCTACGGGCTCTCAAAGTGAGTGGACCCAGCACAGGATCTGGTTACTGTGCTGGTGGCTGGCATACATCCCAATCATGGTGCTTCTCTGGATGAAGGTTGTCTATGCGTTCCGGGCACGTCGAAGCTACCAAGTTTCTGAGGCTGGGAGTTGCTGAAGTCCAAATCTACTACATCCCCCTTGTTCTTTTTTTTGTTTAAAACCCAAAAGAGGATATTAAAAGTACTATTCTTATTAAGGTTCTAAGGGGGGTATAGTCTAGTGTGCAGTGCATAGTGATACGCAACTCGTAAAGCTGGATCCTAGCTTCTCGGCTTCCTGGCTCACTGGGGGGAAATGCTCATCAACAATTTTTGCAAGGAACGACCAGCCAATTTAGGGCGGCTTATGATGCTAAGCTAAGCACGTATACGAAACGAAACGATGACAAGGACTGAGAGGGCGAACGGCCTACCAAAAAGAAGGAACACAAGAACGACATAGCGAAAATAAATGCATACATGTACGACTGCATTGTGCCGGAAATGCCCTCCTACGTTCTAGACAGGGACGATTCTGCTGGGAGTCTTGTGCTGGTTGGGGTGGGAGGTGGGCAGCTGTCGCAGGTTCTGGTGGACATGTTTAAAAGTCCTTCGTGGGCCCCAAGGCTTCTGAAGACTGACTAGTCTGTCTTCGTCGCTGCTCAGGTCGTCGTCGTCGTCGTCGTCGGGATCGTCAGACGAGTTTGAGCGGATCGCAAATATGTTTTCAAGTTGTTGCTTCACATACTGCATGCAGATAAGAGGCATATAAAGCTGTTTTGTCACTCAAAAAATACCGTAGATCTTGGCATGTCAGAAGGTTTGGATGTTGCAAAGACTACATCATTCACAGTTGCTTACCGTCGTTCTGAAGCGCGAGCACGCGAGAGCGAGACTCGAAATCATTTACTTCCAGCAAGAGTTGCAAGAGGAGCTGGTCGGGCGCTAAAAGGTCTGTAGACTGCAGCATTCACTTTGTGCAGGCGACTGTTCTGCTGAGAAATCGTAAATTGCCAGGCAACTCGTTTTGCCTACATCGCCTAGTAGCAGGCAAGTTGCAACGATTGCGTTGTAAGTACATGGAAAACTTGTGAAACTGCCGTGGTGCCTGAAACTACATTCGCCACAGTGGCCAAGGCGCAAGCACCTGAACCCGTGTCAGAACTAGAAGCTTAGAGGCCTAGAAGCAGGGTCGTGTTGAATTTCTGCCAGCAAGCACCTGTCGAACAAGGTGCTGACAAATGTGGTATGTGCCTTCTCCTTGGGATTGCTGTACGGGGCCATGAATGCCCTGGATGGTTACTTGGAGTCGAAGCTTGCGAGAACAGATCTTCAGTGCACTATAGGGAGTTGGCATAGACGCTATGTTCCTACAGTCGGGTGTGGAGTAGCACATTCTTATGGCATAGTTCTGCATGAAAATGTGCGAGGCGATGCTGTAGAGAAAGCTGGCATCTGTGCGACTTTTGCGTGTGCATGTGCATGAGGTGGGTGTGTGAGAGACGTGCATTCTCTCATGCGGTGTGAGGTCTGATATACACCGGGCTCGATCATCTTTTTCAACGCCCTGTTCGCTCTCAAGGTGCAGAACTGGTTGTTGCAACGATACAGCTCATCATCGTGAGCGGGTTTCTCCACTGTGGTTGGGGGAGGATCTGTCTGTCGCTGCCAGGGGTAAGGAAGGCACAGGGAAGTGCATAAGGACCCCGAGCTCTGTAATGAAATGCTAACCCATGACTTCTGACACCTCCGCAACTTGCGGGTACTGGGGTAGTTGGTAGCCACGCGTAGTCGCCAGGTAGTTAGGTCAAACAAGAAGCCTCGGTGAGGCAGCTTGAATGGTAGGTGCCCATGGAGTATTCTTGCGCTGCACGCAAAAGAAGTCACGAAGGCTGGCTCCTTGGAGCGTGCGGGAGTTGTCGAGTCAAAATGTGACCGCGGGCCTTCAGTGGTATGAAAATCGATTACTTATATAGCGGGCTGCGAGGGGGGCTATGAGGCCCTTGGTGCTTGTTGGGAACAAGGAACATGTAGCAGGCGTATTCACACACTTGCAAAGCATTTTGGTAGCGTGTCTAACTTTCGTAGCCACGCAAGCTTGGTGCAGATTAAGTGTAGTGTTCCTGTGCATGTTCCGTAGCCAGGGCTGCAGGCACTGAAAGGACACAGAGGTCTGCAGATGCCCACGTTGACAGCATTGCATCTGGCAGGCTGGGCAGCATGTCAGTCGCACGAGCTCGGTTCAGGTTTTACGGGTAATTCACTCTACAGCATTGGCAGCTCTTGGTGAAAGATGGCGTCGGATTTCAGGGTTTTTGACTAGTTGGCGTCGGACTCCTGGACTCCTTCCAGACATGTGGCCTCAGATTTCAGCATGCGCTCAGTGGTCGCAGTTTGCTGGTATTGGATGCTCGGGCTTGCGTCCACGGAGAAATAGCAACAGATGAGGGACCACTCGAGGGCGCGGCATCTTCACCTGGCTCTGGAGCTGTGCTTCGCACTTGGGCTGGCTTTGGAATGCAGCCCTTCCGAGTGCCTTGCCCGCATGACGATGTGTGAAGATGTGTGAAGATGTGCACCTGCAGTGCAGTTACCTGAGGTTTTGCAGCTGCCAGGCTTCCTGCTCAATCTGCGGCATTCCTTTGTGGGAAACGCTGCCTGACTGCAGCGCTTCTCTGGAAGGGGACATCACCTTCGACATTATGCGAAACACGACTGCCAGAGACAAGCTGGCGGCAGCTGTCGATGCCGACTCCATTGAGGCCTAGCAGAGCTGTTAGGGGAACATGGCTGTGGCTGATGTTTCACCTCTTGATACTTTGAGATGCCTTCGACGTTGGGGCTGATTCCTCACCGAATCATTCCTCGCCGAATCTTGTAGCCGGCGGCTTCTGGATACTTTATGATACTTTGATGTGATATGCATTCGACACAAGCTTCTGTGCCATAGCCATCGCATGTCGGGCGTGTGCGCGGCATGCAGCCTGTTGAGCCACTTCTGCACTCGCAGCCATAACGCCGCGCAAGCTGCCTGTTCTTCGCCTTGGCCCTCATGCGTGTACTCGGCACAAGCAGCAAGCCATCGCGACCTTTAAGGATTCTGTCTGTGAGTGTTGATCAGCCTGTTGTGCAAACGTACCTTCCACTGGTTCTTTGTCCCATGCTGCAGCCCTCTCGCGTGCACAGTGCAGGGCTCCAGGGGGGCTCCGGGGTGATCCGCGGTGGTAAAGCTGGGCATCCTGCTACTCTCGTCAATGAAAGGCTTCGACCTCCTTGGACTGTTGGAGTTGCAGTGTCCTCTAAGATTCTCGCCAGGAGCCTTGCTCAACGCACTTCAAGAGCACAGCTTCCATTACAAGAGTATGTTGGAACAAATAGAACAAGAGCTCATTAGAAACTCTGTCACGTTCTTCTGCTTTCGCTCGGACGTCAACACCGACTTTCTACCTAAACCCTCGCCCACTTAAGCGAGTCAAACTCCTGTGATTCAATATTGGAACGTACGGCTAAAAGTCCTCTAAGACTTGCCTAAGCCGATCTAGGCCCTTGAACGACAGGCCACGTGCAGCCAACTCCACTGCGAGCTCGGATGCTTACAGTACTGCCCGTCGCGGCGGGCTGACTTTGCGGCCGCGTGCAAAGCTCCGGACAGCTCTGTTCGAGAGACTTGTGGCATCTGCCTCAGAACACTCTTCGACTCTTCGATGTCGCCCGCGCTGAATTCGCGACTGCTCGATGCTGCTCTATGCTGCTCTATGCTGCTCTATGCTGCACTCGGCTGCTCTCGGCTGCTCTCCTAGGCATTGACTGCGACGCGCCCCAGCTGCAGAGCGAGCGCGAGCTGGCTCTCTGCCTTGTGGGGCAGCTCAGGGGTGTTTGCAAGGCTCGGCAGGGACTGAAGCATGAAGCGGGAACCATAAATGTTCACTTGCCATTGCGAACCCCCGTCCCCTTGATTTATTAAACCTCTCCGAGCGGCCGGGGGAAGGGGCTCAAAAATGTAATTGAGGGTTTGGGACTTTAAAGGTGCTTCTTGAATCTAGAAAGGGAACCCTCCTGCCTATCGGGCTGATGGGGATTTGGGGTTTGTAATTGTGGGGTGCTCACAATTGAGTTCCTGGACCCGCGTTATTGAGGCAAGAAGCGTGGTGGGTTCATTGCATGTCCGCAGGTGCGGGAGAGCATGACCAAGACGTTTAACACATTTTTTTCCCCGCCTAAAGAGTCAAGATGTCCGAAGAGAAAGGTAGTGCTTTGCTTGTGGCACTAGTCCGGCCTCCTTTCCATGCGATTGGAATGGACATGTTCTCCTGTTGGTGCTTGATGACAGGGATCTAGCAGGGTCATCATAGAGGAAGGGAACAGCCAGGAAGGGAAGTTGATTGATGAGCCGCCGCCTTCGAATTTCGTGCCAACGAAAGAAACGCGAACATGCTTGAATGATGCGGGAACGCGCTGCCCATAAACATGGTTAGCTTGCCTGTTCCTGCAGGCCGATGACTTTTTCTCACTCTTCCATGTGATGCTTGCGGACTTCGTGAGCATCGACGCATTTCTCGTATTTCCCAATGCTTCCTGCGTGGATCTTAGCAGGAAGTCTTGTCAACACAGTTTGGAGGAGTGCGCCGATTGAAAAGCTGCGCGTCAGGTTTGGAAGACATTGCGACTTTTGAGGCTGCTGCCACAAAGTGGCACGGTGACTTGCGAGTTTTTGCCCGGTGTCAGCTGGACAGCTTGGACGATCCAGCTCCTGGGCTGCACGCAGACACATACACACATGCTATGGCGCTACGCGCCCCGCCTCGGCCGGGGCCTGCCCGTCGCCCAGGCATTCCAAACTGGAGATCGCCGGTGTGAAGGTGCTGTTAGGCTTCAGGGCTTTGAGAGTCTTCGTGCACTCATTCCATGTGTAGACCTGTGGGAGTAGTAGCAAGCAAGAACAACCGGTAGAGGTGAGGGCGTGGGGTTGAAGGGCCGGGCGGGGGGCGGGGGTGGGGGGAGGGTTGGGGGGGTGGGGTGGGGTGACGGGGGTTGCAATCTGCGCAAGGGATTAGACGCGATAAACCCCAGGCATTTGTTTTGTGTTTATCCTGTATCCGCCGAGGCCTCGGGTCGTAGGTGTCTGGGTAGCATAAAGCAAGAACCCCACCAACCTAGGTGTGCTTCCATGCAGATCTTGCAAGTAGTGCCACAAGTTTAGTCGAGCTGGCCTTTGCTTCCGGATTGGTTGTTCCAGAACCGGCATAACCTGCTGTAAGGCAGAGATTCGGCTTATGGAGTGGTTCAAAGGAAACCACTGGTGGGCTCGAGGCCTAGTTGCACGTGTCCCTGGCTCTTGGTCAGGTGTGGTGGGACAAGGCATGTTATCCTAGAAGAATTTGATGAATGCATGGCCTACTGTAGCGGATGGATGAACTCCTAGCTCATGCTCGGACGGAACAGATGCACAGCTTGTCCTTGGCGTTGCTAAGGTGCAGCATTGGTACAACATGTCTCGGTGGCACAACAACGTGCTATCGTTGAAGCATGTGCATTATTGCGGACAAGAAGTGGCAAAGCAGTCCAAAGAGACTTCGTACCGCTTCGTTGCCCGGGTACGTCCGGATGCGGAATGGTTCCGTTTTCCAAGCAGACTCGAGTTGGAGGCTGTAGTTCCTGGGCATATCCTCACAAATTTTGTGGCCATGCCGATACAAGGAGTTGCTGAGGATTCCTTTGCAATTGGAGCGCCGGAAGACATGGCTGCTTATTTCAGCTTGTACACCGACACGCTGCTCAACTTTGGCCGCCTGGACACGACAGAGGTGCCATGGTGCAGCGTTCATGCAACTTTGCGAACGACTGCTCACTGCCAGAGCCATGGTCAAAGACCAGCATGTTGGTGTCGTGTTTCGTCCTAAGGCTTGATGAACCTTAAATGTCCTAAACTTCCTAAACTTCCTAAACCAGGACACCCTCAGCCCTCAGCCCTCTGCCCAGGACTGTCTGGCCAGAAAACCTTTTGGAAGAACATCTGAGACGGCAGAAAGGTCTTCAAGTTCAGAAGCGGAAATCCATATGCTTCAACCGAATTGCACCATGCATGCGGGGTCGCCATCATTATTGCCTCTTGAATGAACTTGCTACAACACTTTCAGGTGCGTGCTGACTGTTGTTTGGGATTTTTCGCAAGCAAGGCACTGAGTTCCAGAGACACGCCCGGGGGTATTTAGAGAGCAAGCTGGAAGCTCTACAGCTGCAAGTTTTTTCGTGCAACGAAGTGAATGACGGCAGTATGAGCGATGTTGCGCTGTTAAGAATTCTCAGGCCTTCCAGTTACTTGACCGAGACTTCTTCCTCACGGCCTCGGGGTGCCATTCTCAGCAGCCTCTGCTTCCATGATGGCGGGATCGATTTCGCATATATGGCGCCTTGACAGGTCATATGCAGACTACGACACGGTATTTGCCGCTCGGTTGGTGCATTTTTTCCTCACAGAGGCGGCCCGACTTGGACACCCTCCACGTGTGATTGACATGGGGTGCGGCCGTGGATCGTACGTAGAGGTCTTTCGTTCGTGGGGTATTCCGGTCATGGGTGTGGATGGAAACGCGGTCATCTTGCGCTCCATCCAGGCCAATGGCTTTTTATGGGACCTCACGGAGCCCCTTGACCTGAGGAAGGCATTTGGGCCCCAGGTCCATACATCAGAAGCTTGCGACTTCGAGTTCGACGAAGGAGGGGATGGAGTTCGACGGCTGGGCCGACAGCTCGCTGCCTCCTCAAACTCCAAGCTTCGGCTCAGCATATTGAACCTCATCCCGCATCTCCTGTACACAGACTACTGGCCATCGCGGCATCCAGAAGGACATCCGGAGGTCCCGATCGACGAAGCCATCGCCCGGGCCGCAGGTCCTTCAAAGCGAACTTCTGAGCATTTCGGAACCTGATCGGCCTCAGGCCGTGGAGTATCTGAAGGCTCTGTGCTGCGCGGAGCAGCGGTGCTTTGGCTTTACTTTCACAGATGATGGAGGCGGATGCAGCAGCTTAACGTGCTCTTCAGTTTGCAGCAGTTGGCGTCCTGCACTTGCTTCCCCACTGAACATAAATGCTTCTTTGCAAGGAGTGCTCCTTGTGTGGCTGCGCGTGGAACCTGAGGAGCCTCGGCCTTCGGTGGGTGTGTGTGTGTGTGTGAGTGTGAAAAAGTTGAGTATGCTGCCGTTGTATGCTGCCGTAGTGCTTGGGGCATAAGACATGGTGACAAGTTCCTCAGGAACTGGGGGAAGACCTGGTCAATGCTGGGTTTCCAATCTGGTACCAGGCAGCTCGGGATCCTATTGACGGAGTGGAAGGCTTCGCATACCGCTGAGTCTGTGGCGTCAGGTCAAAAGCTCATACTTCGTCGGCTCCGGGGCGGACGAAAGCCGGATGTATGAGATTGATGGGCCGTCCACCTATCCGGAATTCCAGCTGCAGCTGCTTGTTTTCAGCTTAGTCTCTGCCATCGTCACCTGAGCCTTGTTGAAATCATCCGGTTTCCTGACCAGGTACTCTTTGATGCAGGTGCAGTTCAGTACGGCTGACTGGGTGGTGTGCCTAGGACTTGGGGCAGAGATTCCTAGGATGAGGGAGCGGCTCAGCAGCATCTTTCTGTTTCTTGTGCGGCAACGCTGTGCCCGGTGTGCCCGCCTCGCGACGCATTGACTTTTGAGCAGAAGGCATGTTGTGCTGACGAACATTGTTCGGCATGCTGAACAAGGTGTTCGGGGCTCAGGCCAACAATATGTCAGGCATGCTATCCTACCGGGACAGGGTGAGCTGGAGATCGTCTTGCATCGGGTAAGTCTGGCTTCATCTCGGTGGCTCTTCCGTTGCTCGTTTCCTGGTTTAGTGCATTCGAATGAACCATGCAGGGATCACATTCGCTTTATTTTTGCATGGCCTCTGACGAACCAGTCTGCGTATGAGTCTGTACGTGGGTGCGAGTGCTTGCCGAAGCGTCGTGGCAGAATTCGTGCAGCAGGTCATCATCAGCTGGGGGACCAAGGGGCGCAACTTGCGCAGCCAGGATGAGGCAAGGGGGTGGAGACTTGGGAAGACTTGGGAGTCACGAAATCGAAGCTGCTAAGAGTGCTCATGTCCTTGCAGCTTCTCGGGTTGGCCCAACGAGGCCAGGCTTGCTGAACCCCGTCCTTGTTAGGTGCTGCAACTGTTTCGGTCTCGTGGCTTCGCTCTAGATAAGCCGCTGATTCCCGACAGCAGCCCGTGCGCGGCCTTCAAAGTAAGGTCCAAGAAAGGGAGAGTGCCCATGCGATGGGGTTTTCTGGCAGTTCAAGAAAGGGGCCAACATGTTGGACAGCCGAGGACAGACATGCTGCAGCTCTTCTCTGGTCTGGCACATGCACCAGAACGGTCAGATCTCCTTGTCCTGCGCAGGGTGTCCGCAGCTCACACATGGAGGGGCGTCTGTGCGAACCCCGTGCCCTTAACAAAAATTTAACCTGGGCGGACGGTTCAAGAGTGCCGACACGTTTATCCCAGCACTGCTTGTGCTTAAGCCATCTTAAGCCTGTCGAAAGGCCGGGCACCCTTTATTGAGGCATGCAGAGTCGTTCCATCCGGATCTGCCACTGGAACTGATCGACGAGTGACCCAGTTACAAATACACCTTGAGTTGAGTTTGAGTTTGCTTGTCCAGCCTTTGGTTGCATTTTAAAGGAGTCCTGTCACATTGAGGTGGGGTGGTCTAGAGTGCCAAGAGGCAGGCGCTGAGCTCCGCCATGGTCTGCAAGGGCATGAAGATTCGCAGTATGGCCCCCTGGGTCGCGGTCGCAGCTTGGCGGAAGCCGTAGTCCGGACTCCAGCAATCGCCCCAGCAACTGTAGTTCTGAAGAGCGGAGCTTAAAGCTTCTCAATCTCAGGCATGTGGGCGTCCGGGCACTGCGCTGGACTCTTTCGTGCAGGCAGCTGCGACAAGTGTCTTCAGCTCCACTCCCTCTGTTTTCCGCAGCCGTGGTGCGAGCAGGGCCGGATGGTCTACCGATAATATGCGGTGGCCCCTTGACTGCGCCTGTTGTCAGTTTCACGACCGTCGGCCCGGACAGCATTGCATGCATCCCAGGACATACGAAGCAGTGGCGCGAGTGTATCTTGCCTGATGAAGTTCCGGGCGTGCAAGGCAAGAGGGTTGCCTGAGTTGCCTGCATTCTGGGCTTGGTGGCCGCTATATCGCATTCCCGGCGTTTGTCAAGCGCCTGCAGGGCGCGCGATCGAGATGGACAGCATTGAAGCCTCGGCTCTGTACGACAAGGCAGACCATATGGCCACTTGCCCAGGCATCGAATGAAGAGAGGAACGCTGCAGCAACAAGAAGTCTGGTGCGTCAACAAGGTTCCAAGATCGGGCGTGTGGTTTGGTGAAGCTCGCTTCTTCACTGCAGTGCCGAAAGGTTTGAACCTTCGGTGATACCTAGATCTTCGTGATTTGACGCCCGGCATTGCACAAAAGTCCAAGGACTCAATCTTGTCTTCTTCAAGCCTCCTGGCCTAGGATTACCAGACTGTTACTTGTTTGCAGGGTTCGGCACCTCGCCTCGTCACTGTGCTCAGGGTCGCGAGGGCCCTTGCAGCTCCTGGCCGGGTGCACAGGCTGCAAAGTGCCTGGACCGCCCCCTCAGCACTGCCTCAGCTGCCTCAAATCAGTTTCAGTCTAGAGCCAAGAGAACAACTGGGAACATTCGGGCAGGACGTGGCTTTGGACAACCAAGTGGGAAGTCTTGCTTAGCCAACCTCCGGAAGAGCACAGGCACTTTAATTTGGCGCCGGTGTTCGCTGTGACTTGGAATTTCGTGCTCTCTGGTCGGCAGGGTCTTCCATCCGTGGACCAAGTCTGTACAGCCAAGGTCCCAGAACATTGGCAGTCCAAGTCAGCATATCCGGCATGCCAGCGTGCGCTGTGACATCTTTTGGAGTTTTTGTTCTCATCCGAACATCACGTCGATCATGAGGCCCCACGTCCTGGTTTGGCAGCTAGGCGCTCCCTGGGTTTTTCTTTCAACTTGGGATGTGAGTTTGCCTTTCGAGTTGGGACAGCTGTGCGCCGCGCAGGCCGAGTTGCCTTGGCCCTGCACCAGCTCTCGTGCCGAGTGCGTCGTCTCCAGGCCGGACGTGTCCTCTGCCACCTGAAATTCATGGACTGGTACAGTACAGCACAGGAAACAAGATCCCGTTTAGCCCTCTAAATGTGCAATCTTGATGCTGATGTAATTCCTTTGCCCTTAGTGACGAACCCGTGGGTTGCATTTAGTCCTCTTGAGCTCAGTGCGATGCATTCTCCCGCTTGTGTCAGGCTCCTGAGGCCAGGACACGGTCTTCGTGGCACCGCGTGCGCGCTCTCCTTCACGGCCTGGAGGTGCGGTGAGGATGCCGACTTTTCTTGACCGCATGTTTCGTGATGTTTTGGAATGATTTTTTGGGGGGAGTGGCAGAGGTTCCGTCTTCGAACGAGGGGGTGCTGGACATCAAAGGGGCCATCCAGCCTGTCCGGGCGTTGCAAGCTGAGGCGTCAGGTCCTGCACAGTCGATGCTCGGCATTTTTTCTCTTGCAACCTCGGCAGATCCTCACGGCTCTCCGCGGGCCTCGGCAGCAGGACTTGGACGTGTTGCGGCCTCAGGTTCGCAACCCTCTACCCTCGCCTAAAGCCTGAGAAGATGCATGACGTAAATTCGGCTTCAGAACTGACAGAGCTCCAGTGCTGGTAGCAAAGAGATAAGTAATGTTAGGTTAGATCAAGATGTCCAAGAAGGACCAAACAGTGGCCAGAGTCAACGGAGACTGTACTGCTCGGCATGCCACCCCGTATCAGCTACTGCATTGACAGATGTTTACGGCACATGGCCTCGGTGAACCCACAAATTCTGTGCAAACAAGCAAGCATCAGATGGCCCTTTCACCCTGTCAAGCAACCACACGGTAGCTCACAAGCCTCGTTTAACGGGCCTGTGGGGCGCTATGTGCAAAATGCAGAGCGGTGGATGCTGTATGATGCTGTTCCCGAGAAAGTTCTCGTCGTAAGGTCTGGCTCATATGGAGAGCGAGCAGCCTGGAGCGTGGCCGTGGAAGAGGCCCCATCATGAATCATGACCTCGAGTTGAGCTTCCACCACCTGGCTTTTGGAAAGGCGCTCGGAGACGTGGTTTTCGGAGTGGGCAGCTTGGAGGGGGGGGTCTCACATGGCTTCACTGATCTTGGGCAACAGTCCATCCTCTTGCTTCACACCAGCGAGCCTGTCAGAATCGACAGAAGAGCCTGAGAAGCTCACCAAGCTTAGAGAAGTCAACCCGATCCGATGAAGCTGTGAGGATGAGATCCTGCCGAGATTGCCCCGCTCCCGACATGTCCATCGCTGCGCTGATGCCCTGAACATGTACGCTTTTGGACCTCTTGCCTGCCAAAGGTGGCAGCTCTTCGGTGGAGAGGCGCCTTCAGGTTCCGGCGGGCTTGGACTCATTCCCAGAAAGGTGGGCCTTCCATGCACCCCACCATGGCATGTATGGCGTTGCATAAAGTTGCATCTCGTGGCATGCTTGAATCGCAGAAAACCTTGCAGGCTGGGTGTGCAGATCCAGTCTTTGATGGGGTGGTGAATGTCGCGGCGCTATGGGACAAGGACAAAAGCGTAAAGGCATCATAAAGGCTTTGCCAAGGTCAAGTCGCCATGAGCTGCTCCTCCCGTGTGCCACAGGAGTCTGACGTGGGCTGGTACTTGTATCGTCTGGCAGCAATTGACCCGACTATGTGAGAGAAATGCATCGTGCAAGAATGCTGCCTTGATCTGCTGTGTGAAATCTGGGTGAAATTCCCAGAAGCCTGATATCTGACAGTCTTCCATAGACTGCACATCCGACTGCACATCGTAGCTGGAGGGTTTGGCCTTGCTAGAATGGGACCCATTTGAGCCCCCACCAGAAGAACTTTTGCTCGTCTAAATCAGCCAATGCACGGAGTTGCGTTCTTTGCTAGCGGACCCTTGGAGCCACATATGTATATATATATATATATATATTATTTTTTCTCTTTTTTTGTATGTATAGATAGATAGATAGCTAGAGCCATTTTGCATAGTTTCCGAAGCTCCAATCCTCCACTGAAGGCCGCAAGAATTGTTAGCAGTCGGCAGGCGAAGATGAATCACTCTGGCCCGGCCATGCCTCAGTTGCCAGCATGTGCAGAGCAGAGCGAATACAACGAATGCAGCGTTTGGCCGTTTCGGCACCTCCGCACCTCGTCAGAAACGACACGCACCCCATTGGTACTTGTACTTCCAGTTCTGCCAGCTTCCAGCCCTTGAACTTGTTATCGGCATGTCGGTCAGGCACAGGGTTGAGGCGGTTGAGGGGCCGACAAACGCTGTAGTCTCATTCCTTGCCGATCACTGACGTGATGGAGCCATGGAGCTTTGTCAACAAGTGGGTGATGTTAGCCTCGCAGATGCTCTTAGGTTTTGGATTTGACTGTTGGACAGGTGAGTTCACTCATGATCTTTGTTGCGACTTGTCCCTTGGCGACCGCGGAAACCCCGAGTGCTGGGATGCATCGTTTACCTATGAGCGCTGCTGTTGGAATCAGCCTCCGGATCAGACGCCGCAGCATACGTATGTAAGCCAGAAGTTGGAGGGTCATTTCAGTGCGGTGATTCGCGACCGGCAGGCGGCACTGGAGAGAGGCATCTCGGAATGTCAACGGCGGTGGGGCTGGGATTTGAATATCCAGTGGGGTGCGCCTACTGGTATCTTTCCTGAGTTCTCAGGGATTCCCTTGAGGCACCAGGGAAAAGGCTGGGATGGTCAGCAGCACGGTGACGCAAATGGCTGTGTTGTCTTCCGTGGCAAATTCTACTTGGTCCAGCTGGCTTTCGAAGGAAGCACTTCGCTCTCCAAGTCCTCTCATAGTGTCCATTTCGGCTTTTGCGCGCCCTTGGTTTGTTCCGTGAAAGAGGTGGTAGATGAGCTTGTGCCAAGATACACGCTGCAAGTTGCAGATGCACGCCGCGTCATGATGAACATCCAATCCGTTCATGCCTGGGAGTGGCCCCATTTCTTGGACTTGGTGCATCCCGATGGGGAAGCACCCACACTCCGCGAGCGGATTTTAGAGACCAACCAGGAAGTGCAAATATGCCTCATCGCCGTGTTGTTGCTCCTCTTGGTTGCCACCCTCAGTGACTTCTGTGGAGCGCCAGGCCACCTGGTGAGCTCCTTCTCGTTGCTGCGGTCCTGGCAGGATCTCTGGTGCCCTTCCCCTGGCTTCGAGGTGGACCTTCTAAGGACCCCAAGACGTTTGTAATATTGTGGCTAAAGAATCGCCCTTGGTAATGAAACCTTCACACAGAACGACCCCTGGCCAGCGGCCAGGACCTGGTCTACCTTCCTCCTCGTCTGCTTGCACCTGGAGTTGGCACAGGACAGCTTGGGAGAGTCTTAGGAGAGGCTGAGAGCCAGGGTTGTGAACCGTCTTTTTGTTGTCTCATCAGACTCCTCCTAAGCTGCTCATCCTGCGGTGTAACGGCGAGATCTCCAGCCTAAGCCATGAAGCTTGAACCCTTGTGCGGTTAAGTGAGTGGACGGATTGAAGGTCGTGTGCGTTTATCTGGGTATCGACGGCTTTGTGTGTGCCCGATTGTTCCTTGCACGCCAGGCTCTATCGGATTGCTCTGTGATGTGCCTGAAGATATGTGAAGATTCTACAGTGCTAGTCGGCAAAAGCAGTGCCCGAACTCCAAAACCCTAAAAGGTCAATGAGCGCACTGAGAAGGGGACCTGGAACCTGCGGCTCTCCTTTGGTTTCCGAGCTGTGCTTTGCATGACGGTGCTGACCCTGCACCTGGCGCTCTCAAAGAAGGAGGGAAGCTTTGTGGAGGCTTTCCAAGTTGCTGTGGGACTAGGATTGAACCTTTAGCTTTGCACAACTTGATTTTTTGACCAAAGGCCACTAGGCCCATCAAGTCCCTCAAAATCTGTCGTGATGTTTGTGCTCATGGTGAGCTGGTGAGCTGCCAGGTGTCTCGAAGATGTGCAATGAAGTTGACACGGAAGTTCTCAAGGCCTTCTGAAGGGTGATGGTTGCCGGAACTTCCATGAGCATGGGCTTCGGGGCTTAGGATCTGCACAAACTAAACGAGAGAGAGGTTGCGCACGTCTTCGGGCCCAGAAAGAAAGAAGAAATAACAAGAAAGAAAAACGGAAAGCAAAAAAGAAATAAAGAGATAACGAGAGAGCGAGAGAGAAATAAGACAGAAATAAAGAAAGAAAGAAATACAGAAACAAATGAAGTAAGACAGAAAGAGAGAGAGAGAGAGAGAGAGACAGAGAGACAGAGAGACAGAGAGACAGAAAGACAGAAAGACAGAAAGACAGAAAGACAGAAAGACAGAAAGACAGAAAGACAGAAAGACAGAAAGACAGAAAGACAGAAAGACAGAAAGACAGAAATACAGAAAGAAAGAAATACAAAAAACATGAAAACAATAAGGAACACAGAAAAGAAAACATAAAAGAAATCAAGAACATGAAAGAAAGAAAATGAAAGAACGACAATGACAGAAAAATGAAAGAAATAACGAACGAAATATCATGAAAGAAAGAAAAAGAAAGGAAGAACGAATTACAGAAATACAGAAAGAAAGAAAACAATAAGTAAAGCTGAAAAGAAAACAGAAAGGAAAGAACTACAATGCAAGAAAGAAAAAACTTAAATGAACGAAGAAAAGAAAGAAGCAAAGAAAACAAGAAATAAAGAAATACATAGATAAAAAAATAAAGAAATAAATAAAGAAAGAAATACATAAAGAAAGAAAGAAAGAAATACAGAAATACAGAAAAAAAGAAATACAGAAAAAAAGAAATACAGAAAAAAATCAAAAAATGCAGAAATACAGAAAGAAATCAGAGCGAGCCGTGAAGAAGAAGAAGAATAAGAAGAAGAAGAAGAAGGAGAATATAAGAATAACAACAAGAAGAAGAAACAGAAGGAGAGAGCGAGCTGTGACCCAAACCCTGGCAGACCCATCAGTCAAACAACTCAGCCGACGGGAAACGAGAAGCCGTTTCTCGCGGCTTCTTTCTCTTGCAACGGGAGCGAGGCAATCAGTGAAAGAGACGCAAGAAACGGCTCTGCTGCCTGTATAATGCCAGAATTTCAGGTATCTTCCCCTCATCGCCTTGTCCGTCTGGTGGGACCGGGAAGGCTCCCGATTCATCTTGCCCGTTCGACCCTTGGCATATCTGGATGGAACTCTTGGCACTGTGGAAGGCTCTAACTTGAGCTGGAGCTACTATGCGGCCAAGCATGGCTGTAAGGAGACATTTTGGACTTGCGCACTGAGATTTCAGAGCGTAAACTGGCAAGTGCGTGATGCCATCGAGCGTGCCCTTCTCTGCTTTGGATTCTTGCTGCTGGAAGCTGCTGGCCTAAACTATGCCGGTGCCCTTGAGTACGTTTTATGGTGTGTTGGTCTGGCGTACTACTACGTGGACTACTTCCATGAGCAGCTGAGACTAGACCTGAATGGTTGGAACCACCAGTTGGCATACCGGCTTGAGAACCCGGCTTTCTTGGGCATCTTCTTTATGTGCAGGCGAATTGCAGCGGCTCTCCCAGAGACTCCGGCATCTCTCAACTTCGTTCTTGTGGGCCTTGCTTGGCTCTGGTCAACGTGGATCAACCGAGAAGACTATGCAATGTGGTGCCAGGTGGGGGTTGAAAGAGTAATAATTAGGCTCACAAAGCAGCTTTCAATGGTCCATGATTGAAAGGGTTTTTGGTTTGGGGGGGTTTGCTCGCCTCCCCCCGAACCTGCAAATCACTTCGTCAACGCCTTCCCGGTCACACCTGCCTTTGCATGCCACCACCATCGTGTTGGTTGAAGCATCACATCGCGTTGTTGCACCAGCCTGCTGAGAGCATTTCGCTTGTTACCCCTATGCTGACGTACCGTAGTACCAGTTTGAAAACTTGGTTCCCCGAGGAGCGCAACGTGAAAGACCCGTTGGGAGACTTGCCCTTAGTACTGGCCCTTTGCATCCTATTGAGGGCCGACAAGAAGGCAGGTGCCTCGGGTGCTTCTAGCTTCGCTCTCTTCTCCGGCTTCTGCTCTCGCCTGAGCTTCTGCATCCTGGTTGCAGAACCCCCCCTCCAGTCCTTCCTGCAGAAGGGCTATGCCATCAAGGGTCAGCCGCTGCCAAATTGCGATCGTGTGGACCCTCTTGTGGAGCAGCTTTTGCTTGGCCCGGGGCTGCTGCTAGCGCATGTGATGTGCGGATTGGCCTTGTTTATGCTTGTACAGCGGCCCATAGAGGCCTTCTTGGCACCCTTGCTGACCAGGGTGGCCCCTTTCCTCCATCCCGTGGTTCCTCTTTACATGGCATTCCTGGTGAAAGAGGGACTACCGAGCTTGAGCGCCTTCCAGTAGCTCGGTCGGAACACGCACGCTTACATGCACAAAGTTGGGGGCCGCGTCCTTGGATGCTCTTGGTGGGTGTGGTGCCGATTCGGAGAGCTGTGCAAAACATTTGCAATCTCGTGGATGCGGGCAATCTCGTAGATGCGGGGACATGACGGCGCCACACAGCAGTGACAACTTCGTGGCGACTGGAATGAGGTTAGGGAGAACGCAGACCTGCCAGACCTCACCATGAAGGCTGGTCAGTCCTTTGCAGGCAAGGGTGCCGGCTTGTTCCGCAGCCTTCTTGCTGGACACCAAGATCCAGAGACCGATTATGGCTGTTACATGTCTAAGGGCGGCAAGGTGCAGGCCTGGTTACAGGTCGAGGGAGACAGTACAAAAACAGATGCTGCGCGGGACTGTTTGCATTTAGATCGACTGCGCCCACGAAAATGTCTCCGCTTTGGTTTTCATTCTTCCGTAACTGGACTTGGTGTCGTTCTTTGAACTGCTTGTTTCCCTTACTGATGGAGACTGTTTTGTTCGAGTGGATGCTTCAAGATGTTGTTTCCAAATGTTCACTTGCTTTACTGACTGATCCACATAGTTTGATAGAAAGATGTGGCTCTTGGAGTTGGATTGTTCGGACCATTCTCTGTTAGACAAGACCTGTTGGAGAATACTTTCGCAGTGATGGTTCCGTACAGAATTTTGGGAGGATGTAGAGAGGTTTACTTTGATGTCATTGTGATTCATTGATTTCACGACT